AAGTAACTAAGTAATTAATTACTTTTGAAAATAAGTAATCAGTAAAGTAACGGGATTACTTTTTGGGGAAGTAATCGGTAATTAGTTACTGATTACTTTTTTCAAGTAACTTGACCAACATTGGTCCCCACAAGTATAGTAAATGTCCAATTCTTGGTCCCCACAAAGATATAAATACACACTTACACGACTATAAGTTTGTGGCAGCTTGAAGGACGGCGGCAGGCGCGGTCCACCTGAGAGACGAGCTGCTGTGGGGAGTCGGAGCTGCCGGTTTATCAGCAAACATTTTCCTTCCTGCGTCAGGCCGGCAGGAGATGATTAGAGAGCCTATTTCAGTCGCAGCCACTCGTCGTTCTGGGACCTGCGAGCTTGTGCTATCTGGGCTCTCGCTGTCTCGAAGTGGCAGGATGTGAAAATGTGCCACAGAAGAGGATCGTGCTCTCTGTCTGGAAGCTTCAGTCGTGGCTCGTACATGTACAAAGTTGACACACGTGCAGAAACGTGTTGATCGTTCTGTGGACACGCCCACGCTTTAACACACGCTCGTGTTCTTCTGTCGCCTTCGTCTGTGTTTGTCCTCTGAGATGTTTTCCATGCTGTGAGTCGCTGTCACACGGCACGGTGAGATCTAAAGGTAATCGGATTACTGTTGGTCATTAGTTTTCCTCTGAACAACCAAACTGTTTGTGCTTCAATAATTTGTGGATAAACTGTGTCACGTAGTTTTGGGTGCAGGAGGCTGCTCGAAGGTTCGGGGTTTGTGAGAGGACTGTGCACGTGACTCAAATATTATAAGAACTCACATTTAAAAATGTGTTTCGCTGAAAAACCGTTAGAATCTGAAGTTTGTGAGAAACAGACGCGTAACATCCTGTCACGCCCAAATTATGACTCCAGCTTTGAGAAGCTGACGCTTGCAGAACAGACGTGGTCGGCGAGGACAGGGTTGGTGAAATTAAGTGGTTTTATTGGCTTTACTGGGTCAGCTGATTGCTCAGTCAGCCATGTTGGATGTTTTGTTGCTGCAGGCTCTCGGTGCTGGTGTCTGCTGGATCATGCAGTGGAGTCTTGACGCGTGTTTGAACGTTTGGATGTTTTTGGTTTTTTGAGATGTGATAAAACTTTGCACTCGCACTTTGTTGGCATTTCTGAAATATGAAGTGACGCCGCCACAGTCCAGCCGGGCGCTACGGCCTCGTGAAACCGAACGATCATCTGTGTCCAGCAGACCGATAACTGAGAGTCACCCAGAACCTTCCTGCAGGTTGTAATAAAAACTCTTCACCTGCTGGAGTTTCGATTGTCTCTGCTGCCCCCACCCAAACAGAGCTGATGGAGGCTGACACCAGTAACTATCAGTGCTGGTGCTGCTTCTCCTTGGAGCTTCCTGCTGACGCTCTCATAGTCAGATCATGTTTGTAATGTTGTAAGAATGATGTTCTCTGTAAATCGTTCACTGGTTGGTGATTGTGACACACCTTATTTTACTGTTATCAGCCATAAATAGCTGCTAGTGAAAGTAGTGTGACGCTGCTCACATGCTGTCTGTGGATGCAGCTTCATGACTAAACCAGGTAGCTTTACCTGATAGTGTGTGTGTGTGTGTGTGTGTGTGTGTCATCTGCAGAGTTCTGTTAATAAGACGAATGCCCACCAATAGCAGCCCTGCGCTCGGATCAATTGGCAGGACGTGCATGACTAATTTAAATAATCACTTAGATCTGCTCTCCCATTGGCCCGTCCTCCCCCCCTCCCCCTCCTCTACATCAGATTACACAGGATACTTTTCCATTACTCTCACTGGCCTTTTTCCTCCAGCAGTCCCAAACCTTCCTCTCCGTCCTCCCCTCCAAAAAAAACACCTAACTCCTGTAACCAATAACAAGGAGGGGGCCCAGTGCTGCTTAGCAACAGCCAACCAAGCTGGAGGGGTCAGCACTGGACCCTCCCGTGTGTTTCAGGGTGGAGGCTGGACCTGACCGGGGTTGGGTTACCTGGCAGACACACTCACGCAACTTCTCTGTAAACATGGGACTGACTTTCCCTCCCACACCAGACCTTGGGGAAGGTGTGTGTGTCTGTGCGGGTGTGCATGTGTGTGCATGTGTGTGTGTGCGCGTGTGTGCCTGCCTCGCACATGTGCACTGTTTCTTGTTACTGCAGCACTGAGCAGCGTGCCTCTGCTCCAGAACCAAAAAGGGAGGTGTATCCCTCCCTCTCTCCCTCCCTCCGTCTCCTCCCTCCCCCTCTCGACCACCGTCACAGCCTGCGTAGCCTTCCCCGTTCGCTCACACACACAGCGGTGACGGGATAATACACAACGCATGAACGTACTGTGCAGCAGGACGAGTGTGTGAGGAGGAGGAGGGTGGTGTGTGTGTTTGAGGACAGTGTGAAGCGAACGAGCTGAAGGAGCTGAACGAGCTGAAGGAGCTGAACGAGCTGAAGGAGCTCCCACCATTCTTCTGTTTTTATGCTGGATGTGTTTTTGCAGCACTGCAGGCTGAGAAGGAGAAGAGTAAGTTAAAGCTGCGGCAACAGTGTGTGTGTGTGTGTGTGGGGCATTAGGTCTTGGAGCATGAGCAGTGTGTGCGCACTTTGAATTGTTGGCTGGTGCAAAATAAATGGATCCTGTAACATTAACTTGTGTCACAGTTAATCTTTTGCAGCCGGCTTCATTAGCTGTAAACTGTTAACTTCAGAGTAAATAAGCCGATGAAACACTTCTCGTGCTGTAATGAGTCTGATGATGGTATTTAAACTTCCTGCTGCAGCGTCCGCTCTTATGTAAAGTGGAGCTGCTGCACATGGATAAGCAACGGCCGACCGTGGAGACACGGAGGTGATGGCGTGCAGTCCTTCCTTTGGCGTCTGTGATGGTTTCCAGATGCTTTCAGAGGATCGTTCATGTAACTGAATCCTGTACAAATGTACACACAGCTGCAGCACAGACTCACAACTCTGCAGCCACCTCGGAGCCAGTCCAGGCCGATATTCCTGATGGCCGTCTTAACGAACGCGGATGGAGCCGTAACTTTCGTCTCCATGGTGACCGGGACATTTAAACCGCACAGATCGTCTCCAGTCTAACCTGATTAGATTTCCTTTAAAGAAAAACTCAAATTATTTAAACCGCTGAAGCGTTTTCCTGTAAATTATCCTTCACTGCATGCACAGCATCAAAACAACAAACTGCTTTGGCTCCTCCCACCAGAGCACTAAACAAACATGTTAATTCACATCATGGCAACAATAGTGCACTTACCTGTGTCTCTATGGTGATAACGGACCGGCGAGCATGATTGGTTCTTCTGTTCTCCGGCTGAGCTGATTGGCTCGTTGGGGGAAGCTTCGAGACGAGTGTTTGCATTGGTTCTTACCTGTGCAGGTAAACGTGAGGCCGACACCTGCAGTTACATTAATCATTATATGGTTTTAACCCTTTAAGGCCCCTCTGAGCGTTCTGAACATCAGCTAGCACAATAATCTTTGTGCTTGTGACATCAGAGGAGTCGTGCTTCCATAGCATGCATCCAGCTTGTCCAGGTCGCGGTTTCCTTCCACATATGGCTTTGCTGATCCGATCAGCTGTTCATAGCACTTCCTGCGCTGGAATAAACGTCAGCGCGAACTATTTCGTGTCCTGGAAGTGACGTCATTTTTCATGGGACACGTAGTTTTTATCCTGCAGGCCTTTCAAAGGTTCCCTGGTGTTTGTGAAAGTCGTGTTGGACTTCATGCTCTCCTGTACGGTTTCTGAGACGCTCAGAACTGAAACTGCTGGAAATCGTTTGTTTTGATGCTGTTTGTTTGCAAATTGTTTATAAACATTGGTCTATCTCAAAAATGAAACTATGAAGACACGATTTTGTGCAACTTTTTTGCATTTAGTCTTGAACTTTCTATAACTAGAAATGTGTTGAAAAAAAATTCAGTTTTTTTGTAGTTTTTTTTGCAATTTATGTAGTTAATATGGACGTAATGCCTACATGTTGTTATAATCTGCGATATAACAGTTGTATTGATCTATAACCACAAAACCTCTATCCGTCCCACACGTGGGAGATCAATCGATCGATCGAATAAAAGTTTTCATGATATGACAGTTGGAAGCCTCACAGGAGTCATGTGATGCCTCTCAGTGTAACAGACGTTGCCTCTGATAGGTTGGGTTATTACGCCTGCTGAGAGGAGCCGAGGCTTCGTGGTTCCCAGAGGACGCTGGGTCCGCTTCAGAACGCAGCGCCACATCTGCGTGTCAGAGCGAGGCCTCGTAGCAGCGGTTTGAAATATTAATGATGTCTGGAGAAGCTTGAAATGTGGAAAAATCGGGGAGATTCTCTGAGATCAGCCACAGAGGTGTTTGAGTCCTCCTGTGGGTGCCGTCAGCTTCAGGAACATTTGGTTCATGCAGTGGAAAAAAAACCACATCATGTGTGGGCATTTCTGACCATGTATGGACACGTCATGTGATCTGGGTCTGTATTTTTACCGATGGGAAGCTCTGCAGCTCTATTTCCAGAACAATCAGTCACTGGACTTCTAACAAAAATGTAATGGACTGAAATGAAAACGGCGACAGGAAGAACGGGCCTGCAGATGTAGGTGCTCGTTCGTTAGCACAGGTGTCCACGTGGAACCGTTTGTGTCACTGCGGTAATGAGGCAGCGTTTCCACGCCGACCCCATCAGCTGCGCAGGTATTGATCACTGAGCCCGCCCCGAAGGCCAGCTAGCTGGTTACATAGCAGCTCCATCCACACGCTGCTGTGTGACCTCTGGACCAGCCGTCATTAGACTGCCATCCAATCAGCTCGCAGCGCTCTCTCACCCTCGCTGTCCATTAAGTGTCAGGCTGATGAGAAGTCATCCTCATGCTGTTTCCCCTGAGAGGCTGTTCTGCTTACTGTGCTTCAGCTGGTTAATGCAGGGAAGTATAGTGACTGTTATGTCATCTGAACACACACACACACCTCTGCAGTGCCTGCAGTGTTTAGACAGCACCTCACACGCAGTCGAGCTCGTCTTCTCAGAATGACTAAGCACTCTCTTTATTTCTATGGTAACCACGTTCACTGTATCGTGTGTGTGTGTGTGTGTGTGTCTGCAGTGATGGCAGCTCTGTGCTGTAAGGTGATGCAGTGAGTGTGATGCTGCCAAGTGTTGCTATGAAGGAAAGGTGAGCCTGCTGCCTGTTAACGAGCTCTCTGATTGGCTCGGTGCCGGAGAAATGAGAGCAGAGCCGCAGTCGTTCCTGCACATCAGATGGTTTCAGTTTCAAATAAATCCTGCAGATGGCTCGGTTGGATTTTGTTGTTATTGAATCATCAGTAGATAAATCCCTTGCTGTCGTTTCACCTGTTGGGATGAAGGGAGGGCCGAGTATGAAGGCGAAGCTGTGGATTTGCTGCCACGAGGGCGCCGTGGGTACCCGCTGAGCGAATGACCTCGAGGATGCGATCTGCAAAAACGAGCTGAAGGGTGTCTCTGCTCAGCCAGCTCGGGCGGTTTAGGTATCGGACTGTAATGTGAAACCGCTCAGGTATCAGGTAGTCTAAGCAGCCTGAGACGTAACATCAGCCTGGAAACCAGACAAATCTAGGAGCTCATGTTTCATTGGCTCTGGCCCTGAATGTGTCCCCTCGTTTTCAGACAGATTTCCGTCTGGCTCCACCCTACGGTCTTTCTTTTTTCTTGGAAACTCAGATTATGTCATACTCTGTCCAGTTACAGCCTGAATTATTTAGCTGTGACAGTGAGAACAAAACCCCGGTGCACACCTGTCACAACCCTGATCTGCATTTAGGCCTCTGAATCGTTTAGTTTCACTTAGTTCTGCAAAATATTTGGACTGAATTTTTGCTTTGAGCTCCAAACCTGCAGTTCCTCTGACGCCCAGCAGAGGCAGCAGTGAGTCAGTCCCCCATGTTAAACATTTCCAGCAGAAATAGACACGTTTGCAGCCCGATACACAAACTGTTTGGTGTCATAGGAAGTTTACGTTATTAGGGGCGTGGCTTCTCTGACTGACAGGTAGATGGTGACACAGGTGGCTGTAGCTGCTAGCTGCCTGCTAAGCTTTTAAGCTAATTGTGCCTGAACTGGACTGTTTGTGCTCTTAGAGCCTTTTGGAGCATTTTAATGACGTCATGTGACCAATAACATGGCTGCTGTGAGGTTACTGTAGTAACAGAGTTAGAGAGCACTAATCAGCAGATATCTCTGGATGCAAAAAGCTAGCTACCATTAGCTAGGGATCCTGCTGCTTGGTAGGGTGAAAATAATCACATGCAAGCTTTTGTGAAACTTGCATCCAGCTGCGTGTGTGCGTGTGCGTGTGCGTGTGTGTGCGTGTGCGTGTGTGTGTGTGTGTGTGTGTGTGTGTGTGTGTGCTGCAGTCACTCTGACCTACAGGTCAGCAGTACACCCGTGCCTCTGACACCTCACCTGTTGTTGGTCATTGTCCTGTAGCGTACAGGTTCGTTTAATGTTTCCTTTTCAGAAGTAATTGATTACTCACAGAACTGGAGATCAAAGTAATCAGAGTATCAGGTTAGAAACAGTTTCTGAGCCCCTCGTGTTGCTGAACAGTGATTTCAGTGCAGTTCCTCCACAGGGCTGTTATGAAACGCTGCTGTGAGCTTCCTTCATGTTCTTCATGGTCCAGTGAAGCACAGTCGTCCCTCACAGAGCACAAATATTAACCGACTGCAGCGTCCTGCACTGAGCTCCTCTGCAGCACTCTGCAGGTCACAGCTCCTCACTTCAGTGTGTGTGCGCGCTCACAGTCCAATCAGCAGCCTGCATGATAGTTTAGTTCCTGAACTTGAACTGAACGATCAGCTGTAAACAATGGAGCCGACTGTTAGTCACCAACTGCTGCTAGTGCGGCGAGCTGCGGCTTGCACCGCCCACTCTGAGGTTGATCATCGGCTTCTTGTGGACGCTCAGACTGAGGCTCATTAAGGTGAAAAACCACAAAGAACGGAGGAAAAACCTATTTTTATTCCTGAGCAGCTTTGCATGAGTCACAGTTTAAAATGAACCGTGACTCACTCTGAGCTGTGAAATGCTCAGCATGGATGCCTGAAACGACCATATTAGGGATGTCCCCTCTTGATGACATCGTATAGATCCAAGAGTAGGAAAAAGAGTTTTTGGCTCAGAGGGATTCCTCACTCTTGAACACCGACTCAACGTGAACAGGAGGCGTGACAGAAAACAGGAAAAGTCATGTAGGCGGTGAGAGAACCTGCACCTAAAATCACAACAGACGAGCTTTTCCTTCACTAACCTGGAGGTTAAAGAACAGTCGGAGCACATTCGGTGCTAAAGCAGGCTTTGCAAACAATTGGATAAGCGTGCGCTCAACAAGGTGCTGAAGGAAGAGAAAAAGGAAGTGATGGCGCTCTCTTTTCCTGCCGTGACCTCGAACACCAGCGGCCTGTTTTTGTGGCGTCTGCAGAGGTTTGAGGACAAACGTGCAGAGGAAAGACGACAGATTTCCAGGTTCACGTGTTAAAACATTGTTTTGTTTTAACCCCAGGAGCTCGGGTTGGTTTCCATTCCATCATCTTTGTGTGGTTCATTGTGCAACGCTAAGAAATGATGAGTTAAACAAGCGGTCTCCCTCCTGCTGAGTGTTTCACATTCAGATCAGAGTGAGGTCAGCCTCCATCGCAGAAGCTGATTCATTCAGTGTTTGTGATTATTAGAGCCAACCAAAGAAACCCCTACATCAGGGTCTGCTGTGCTGCTGCCAGAAAGGCTGAGGGCTGTCCTTATGAACAAAACAAACACCCCCTGCTGAGCTGCTTTAAAAGCCTGAAAGGACAAGCAGAAGTCAGACGCAAAGCTGCACCCCTCGAGTTCAGACCGACTCGGAGGAGAATCAAGTTTTAAAAGTCCGTGTTGCTGGTCAAAAAAGTTTGTTTTTTTTCTGTTACTGCTGATAGAAATATGAGACTTTTACTAAACAAGAGCATGTGAGCAGACTGTAACAGATACTGCTCTGTTAAAAAGCAGAGCTGAGAGAAAGTAACAGTGGGGGCGGGGCCTAGAGCAGCACAGAGGAAAGTGCAGAGTCGAAGGCTGTAGCTGCTAGCTCACTGCTACGCTGCACCTCAGCGGGACCTCTGCACCGTGTTCGTGCTGTTGGAGCGTTTTTAATGACATCATCTGACCAATAACACGGCAGCTGTGTGGTTACTGTACTGACAGACGATCCAAGGAGGCGGAGCTCCAGTTTTCAGTGAAATTCTAGAATTTTATTTGGATGTTTCTGAGGAATAATTAGCAGCTGTCTGTGTGAGGTTCACATAGCTAAGCTAGCTAGCGTTAGCTAATAGTTATAAACAAGCACCAACGTTCACGCCAGAAGCAAATGGGTGACAACATGGTGGCTAATTCCATCTTTTATATACAGTCTTTGTAGTGTCCTCTCTTTTGAGCGTGGCGTCTGTTATTTCCTGTTACGACCCCACTCTCTCTAGAAGTAGTCTCATTTGTCTGTTAAATTTTTATTTTAAGTACATCTCTGCATGACATCCTTATTATGACGTATCCTTATTAACATTAAAGAAAAGAAACGTAGATCAACTTCAATCAAAGAATATCTTTAACATTTTTTTTGTCTGAAAATTTGTCTGAAATTTAAGAAAATAAAACCTTATTCAAACTAAAAACATTTGACTGACTTGAACCATCTGCTTCTGAATAATAAAATGAAAGAAACTCAATAAATGCATTTAAATTGATCAGCAACATTAAGTACAGGTCCTCAAAAACTCACACTCGGGCCTCCTCAAACACTTTAACCGAGTCAGTGAAGCCGAGCGCTACAGACGCACCGCCACACTTCCTCGTCTTAGCTTTCTGAGACTTTTGTTTCTTGAGGGTTTGCTTGCTGCACTTTGTCTCCTGCTCTGTGCTGTGTGTGCGCTCGCTCGGTGCAAAAAACCCTGCCACCTGCTGTAGTGGATGTGCAATTACACTTTATTCTAGCACAGCAAACCAAGCCCGTTCCCAGCGTCGGCATAATGTTTGTGATCTGTTGTAGATGCACTGCTGAGCAGGATTTACTACCCTACACTACTTCAGTGTACGTGATGTTAGCCGTGGATGCTGATCTGGGGTCTTTGGCTGCTTTCGTATAAACCTGTGTTGTGGAGCTCGTTGGGCTCCGGGTGCTGTTGATAAGGGCCACCCTGTGCTGCCAGAGCAGCTCTGGTAGGAATGATTTTGTAAAGCTGGAGTAAGACGCATAAAACACTTTGACTGTGTTCGGCTGTAACAGGTCAATAAAAATGGTTAAATCAGTGAATTTTGTGGATTTACTGATGCATGTTGATCCCCTCGTGGTCGCTGGGCGTCTTGTGCTGCTCGTTTCCTTTTCCACTCCATCCACTCTGGACTTAACCTGCTCGACAAGCGTAGCAGGGACCTTAGCTGAGATTAGCCCCATTATTCTCTCTCTCACACACACACACACACACACACACACACACACACACACACACACACACACACACACACACTGCCAGAGGCTGGTGGGGAAACTGATCCTAACAGGAGTGGATGAGTCGTTTGGTTGTCGGAGGAGAGCTCAGGAGCTTTCGGTTCAGTTTCGAGGCTTCGTGTCAGAGAGAGCGGCGTCTCGCTCTGATGGAGGACGGTTCCCTCTGTGCCTTTCCTTCTCTGCACGGAGAACAGTGCGGTCATCAGTTTGGATCATTAATTTCATTTGACTTTATCTGATAGTCAGAGTGAGGAGTGTCTGCAGTCTGAGTAAAGCTCTGAAATAAGGCTGAAATGAGCGGTCGTCAGGCTGTGTTTGAGTGCACGGTCTGCGATGGCCTGCGGGCATTCACTCTGTCAGAGCTGGGACAAACAACTCACCTGAAAGGAATTCATCACCACAAATCCATTTTTATGTGCACAGACGTGCAGTGAATGCACCAGGCGATCTAATGCGAGCTTGTAGTTTAGCTTGGAGTTTAAAAGATCCAGGATCAGCTGATCCTGCTTACACCGGTCAGTGTCTGAATCCAGCAAGCAGCAGTTTGGATGATGAGAGCATGATGCGCTTTATTCCTAACAACACGTGACACAAACAGTGCAAACGTGCAGCGTCAGCAGCGAGAGGCTGCTGCAGCTCTGACACAGGTGAGCGCAGGTGTCGGTCACTCTGCTGCTGGAGACGCTGAACCTTCCCAGAGTCTCTGATGTTCACAGCAGGTGAACTGCAGACACCTGAGAGAGGAAGTGAGGTGACGCTGACAGCGTCTGCCTGAGCTCAGCTCGTGCATTATGGAGGCGCAGAGACTGAAGGGATTAGGCAGCACAGGGCAAAGTGATGCACGTCTCAGCTCCGAGCTAATGACACATCAAAGCTATAAGAATAAAACATCTTTATCATAGTCGCAGGTAAGCAGAGAAGTCTGTCTCTGCCTTTTTGTCCTTTTAAACACAAACAGAGGGAAATGTTGTGAGTTCAGTGAGGAAGTGTTTCCTGCAGCAGCCTGACAGCGAGTGTTGCCCACAGGCTCTGCTGCCATTACCGGATAATGGAGCAGCAGCGCTGTCCTGGATCTGAGCGCCTTTATTAGCTGCTCCTCTTTCTTTGTCCCTGACACACACACAGACACACACACACACACACACACACACACACACACACATCTAATTGTGGGGACATCTAATTGAATGCTTTCCCTACCCACTTATCGCATCCCTCAGCCTGACCGTAACCTAACTGTGACCCTGACACTAAAACCACGTTCTGAGCCTCAAAAATACCTTCAAACTCGTGAGGACGGGCACTTTTTTTTCCCACAAGTATAGTAAACTTCCAAATTTTGGTCTCCACAAAGATTACATGGTAATTACATGAGTACATGGTAAACACACACACATGTAGGCAGAAACACAGACAGCAGGGCAGATTTTGGTGCGTGATGAACTTTGAAGGTGTTGCTCACCTGTCGGGGTTCTGACTCTGTCGTCTTTTTGCTGCAGTGATCAGTGCAGCCTGCAGAGGGCAGCCTTTCTCAACTTTCACTGCCCGTTGTTGCAGCAGCGGCAGTTTTAATGCACGCTCAGAGCTTTGCTTCCTGATTGGATGAATCCTGAGCACTTTTCTTCTGCCTGGTTCTTTGTGACAAACCTCTGGAAACCTCGTCTGTCAGGGAGAGACCGCTGTCATGCACGAGACGACGACGATGATGATGATGATGATGATGGTGGTGGTGGACAGGATAACTTCGTTGACTGATCAGTATATGAGATGTTTACCTGAAGCAGCAGCAGCTGATGTTTGTTTTCTTGTTTTCTGCGCAGGTTAAATGTTAGATGACGATGTGAAGACTTTCAAACTTGCTTCATGAGTGTCGAGCTGTTATTTGCTCGGTGACAATCTTTCACTTGATATCTGACCGGAGGATCAAAGCGGTAACGCCGTGATGCTTCTTACTGTCGGTGACCTCGCCGTCAATAAGATGATGCTGACAGGTGCAGAGGCAGCTTCTATGATTGCATTCACGTTCGTCCTGTTGAAAGTTTCGCTTCTTTGATTGTTGGCCGGAGTGTCGTTAGAAGGAATTTAGCCGATACTAACTTGCTGCTCTTCTTCAGCTCTGGTAATGATGAAGATTAGCTGCTGATGTTCGATCAGAGTCTAAACTGTAACTCTCTCTGTCTCCCTGCAGACTCTGGAACGTTTCCAGGTTCCTGAAAAATGTTTCAGAGCCATGATGTGAGGATCCGTCAGAGCAGTCGAGCCTTCGTGGAAGCGTTGGGGTGTGACTGTGTCGGTGGAAAGAGCGCAGCGCTGTGACGTCCTGACCGCGAACTTCCTGCCCTCGAGATGAGCGCCTCCGAGCCCGCTAACAGTGTCCCCGTCAGGGGCGCGGGCGGCATGAAGCTCCCTCTCCACAGTGCGGGAGACCACAACGGGAATGCTTTCCCAATTTCGTCTTCCTCCTCTTCCTCGTCCTGCCTCGGGGAGTCGTCTCCTGAGTCGCTGCGGAGTCTGAGCGGGGGCCGGACCGACAGCCCCCTGGACTACGACATGTTCGACGTTACCCTGACGACGGTGAAAACTGTGACTCTGAAGTCTGTCGTTTCAGACTGGGCGCCCGAGGAGGAGCGTAACCCGGGCGATGACGGTGACGACACCTCGTTGGGGAAATCTCAAACCGTGACGGAGTCCAACGACAACTCCGTGTCGGTTTACCTGGACGCCAACGGCGACGACTACCACCAGGACAGCTGGAACGACAACCTGACACTCGCCCGATCGCTGACAGGAAACGGCGGCCTCATCAACGAGGACGTCAGCAGTGGAAGCAGTAACGGGAGAAGGCGCAGCTCCTCACCTCCAGACTCGGACGCAACAGAAGTCCCTGCTGATGATGATGATGAAGAGGAGGCGTTGTTTGTGTCTGTGAGCTCTGATGTGGACGTGCAGAGAAGCAGTGCGATGATCGC